AAGACACTCCTTCTTGGGATGTTATCTGTGCCATGATACTTTTCGTACAGATGTTCCAGTGCCTTCCTTTGAGGCGTGTTCCATTTCTTCTTGCGTTTGCTTTTTTGCCGGAAAGATGGCTGCATCAGTTAATTCGTCATCAGAAGAATCTGACTCTCCCTTCCTTTTCCTAGATGCAGATTTGGTCTTATTTGGAATGGCTACTGAAGAGAGAACTTGTTCTTCTGGCTTATCAGGCTCTAAAAGAATGTCATCTTCTTTGTCTGACATATCTGGCTCTGCAGGATCATCGACACAATTGTAATCTTGTAATAGTAGAATCTTTTTGGATCCTTTAGTGACACTCATGAGGTATTGGCTCACTTTGGCAGTTTGCAAAGTACTGTCGTGTTGGCGGGTTGGGGTGATCAGGACAAGTCAGGGTTTGGATCAAGGTTTATTGGCGGCACAGGACAGGAGGTCTATCACTTGCGAGCGGCTGGGTTCCTCTGCACGGGGCGGGGTGGGGCCACGCCTCTTATAGGCCCCCGACAATGGGACCGGAGGCGAGGGCCCGAGCGGGGCTCGAGTCCAGGGCTGCCGAAGGGGGGCGCTGGGTGCCAGCCATACTACTCTTCCCCCCTCGTCACCAAAGAGGTCGCCGACCTCCATCTCCATGTCATCCAGCTCCAGGTCGACAAGGGACGGGGCCGGCGATAGTGGCGACAAGGGTGGAGTGCAGCAAGCGGTGCTCAGCATTAACTCTGGGACGGCGGCGGGCGGCGGCGATGTCGGTCTGGGCGGCGGCGCTCGTGCAGCCCGTGCAGCAGGAGGCGAGCCGAGCCTCTCGTGGACAGGCCGTCGCGCGGGCCTCTCGTCGGGGCGTTGGGGGGGAGCGCCGTTGGGCGCTCGACCGGGACCGCGTCGTGCGGCGTCGGGCGTGGGACACGGGGTGCCGACGACGGTCATCCGTTCAGGGCCGCCTCGCAGGGGGAAGGCGGTGACGCGCAGGCTCCACCGACGGCTCACGGCAGTCCGTCTGGACCGACGCCTCTCGGGCCGCCAAGCCAGCGCTCTCTGGGGCACACCTGTGGGCCGGCGTCTGCACTGCCACGGAGTGCTGCTCCAGGGTCCTGCAGGTCTGCACAGCGATGGCACGGTGACTGCGAGAGCCAGAGAGACCAGCAGCTGCAGGAGGTCCGGGCGGGCCGCGAACTCGCTGTCCAGCCGGGTCGAGCCGCTGGGACTGCTTCCGCAGTCGCAGCCCACTCAGTGCGTCACGGAGGTCCATGGGCGTGTGGCAGAGAGCTGGTGGTTGCCCTGGGAAACACTACCTCTGTTGCGAGTGGGGGCGTGGCTCGGGTTTTCGCACTGCTAGCCGGTCCACCGGCACCGGCACCGTCAGCAGCTTGGGCTTCCTTCTCCCGCTCTCGAACAAAGGCCGGAACCTGGCCGTGATGTCCGTGAGGACGGACACCACCTGGGAGGGGCCTACCCAAGGGCTGTCGAGTTTGGGGCAGCGGCCCCTGTGCCGGCGCGGTGAGAAGAGCCAGAACGTCTGTCCACAGCGGATCGGGTTGTTGGTGCCGGCTGCGACATAATACTCCTTGTTCCGAATCTGTGCGGGTGAGTTGTTCAGCCGGACGTCCTTGTGAGCACGGCAGAGGGTCTCGCGCAGCCAGGCAGGGTAGAGGGCCGGGTGGTCGGGAACATCGGTCTCGGGGGCTGGCGGACGCACGAGGTCAGCCGGCAGGGTGAGGTTCGTACCGAACATGACCTCGGCGGGGTTGTACTTTGTGGCTACGTGTTGGGTGGCACGGTACGCCATCATGACGAGCGGCAGCACCTTGTCCCAGTCACTCTGGTCCTTGTTTACCATGAGGCCAAAGTGGCTGGTGATGACTCGCATGAAACGCTCGACCTTACCGTTTGATGCCAGGTGCAACGCCAGCGAGCGACTCTTACGGATGCCGAAGAGGACCTCGGCGAAGAGGCGGGCCTCAAACTGGCGTCCTTGGTCCGTGTGGACGACTCGGGGGGCTCCAAACCGGTTGAACACACCACGGACTAGGGTGCGTGCCACCGTCTCGGCTGTGATGTCTGCCACAGGGATTGCTTCCGGCCAACCAGAAAAACTGTCAATGGCAACGAGACAGTACCGGTTGCCTCTGCCGGTGCGGGGGAGGGGGCGAAGCAAGTCGCAGTCCCACTTAGCACGGTAAACTCCGGTGAGCAGGCCACGGAGGGGGGCTCGGACGCGCTTTGCAGGGCCAAGGCGACGCGCGCAGACATCGCAGGCGTTGTTGATCACGTCTCGCACGTCGTCGTACATGCCCGGCCAGTAGTAGCGAGTCCGGACAGTGGAGAGGGTGCGGGTCACTCCAAAATGGCTGCCGGTACCTGGGGCGCTGTGGTAGGTCGTGACGACCTCTTGCACCTTGCAACGCGGCAAGACTAGCTGCCAGACGTCTCGGCTTGACTCAGAGACGTGGTGCCAGAGGCGGTACACAAGCCCGGAGCGGATGCTCAGACTCTGCCACTGCTGCCAAAGACAGTGAGCCTCCCAGCTGTACGCCTCGGCAGAGTCGCGAGAGGGGCGCTCCGCGCCCTCCATCAGGGCCGTGAGCACGATCTTGATGCCTTGGTCGAGACGTGGTGCGGCTCGAAGCTCGTTGTTCGACCAGTCAGGTGCAGGGAGGGCGGCGACTAGGGCGACGGCCGCAACGCGGTGGGCCAGTCCGAGCTCTTTCTCCTCCATTCGCGAACACTTCGGGCAGTCCGGGCCACAGGGGCGGAGGTCACTAGTCGGGTAGGCGTACCGAGACAGCGCATCAGCATGCGTCATCTGACTGTACTCCAGGACGTAGTTGTAGCTCTTTAGCCGCTGGATCCACCGGGCAAGCTTGCCTTCAGGGTTACGGAACTTCTGTAACCACTGGAGCGCCGAGTGATCACTCCGGACGTTGAACTGGGGTGCGCCGGCCAGGTAGTGGTGGAACTTGCGCACGCTGTCAACCACAGCGAGCAGTTCCCGCATGGTGACGCAGAGCTTTGTCTCGGTCACGGTTAGCGCCCTGCTGTGATAGGCGATAACCACTTCCTTCCCATCGTGGCACTGAGACAGGACGGCACCCAGCGCAAGGCCGCTGCAGTGGGTGTCAAGGATGAAGGGGCCCTTGGTCACGTCGGCGGGTGCCAGGACAGGTGGGGAGGTGAGAGCCTGTTTGAGCTTGCTGAAGGCATCAGCAGCCTCGGGTGTCCACTCAAACGGCACTTTGCAGACGTGTGAGGCTCTGCAGTGGGCGTTGTCCACGCCAAATCAGCAGGTAAAAAATGACCCCCTTGAATTTTTATTTTTCATGTGGCTATCGATGCTCCCATGGATGTTGCACTCAGACCCGAAATTATTTTTCCGATATCTCAACTGGTTGGGGGTAGGGCGCGAGTCAAAGTTTCGTCCCCCACCTCCTCAAAATCACTATTTTGGCCCGTGCGCCGGGTGCGCGCGCGCGGAGTCCACCAAATCTTGCCAGTGTGTAGTACTAAAGTAGACCTTCCGAAGCCGCACGGGGCGAACCGCATACTTTCACCACTAATAGCTACAAATTCAACATTTAAAACGCGACACATTAGTGCGCTTATTTCTCAGAAAGTTATTTTTTGTTTTCGTTCGCACTTCGGCGCCAGGTACTAGCCGACCATAGCTACCGATAGCAAAAATAATTGGCGTGGGATCTGTATGGGCTGGCTTGGGAAACCCGGAAAACTGTTCAGAGCGTAGCGGGACCCATTTGAATTCGCGCGCGCTGTAATGGCGCCAACGTCTCTGGGCGGCTAGAGGGGCCACTCGTCCGGTGCATCGTGCCGGCACTTCCCTTCCTAATTTGCTATAGCGGTTTTCATTGGTTACGTGCGGTGCCGTGCTGTTCTCTCCTACATGCACTCGTCATACACGCGCCTCACCACACGCGTGAAGAGGGAGGTGCCGGCACGATGCACCGGACGAGTGGCCACTCTAGCCGCCCAGAGACGTTGGCGCCATTAAAGCGCGCGCGAATTCAAATGGGCCCGCTACGCTCTGAACAGTTTTCCGGGTTTCCCAAGCCAGCCCATACAGATCCCACGCCAATTATTTTTGCTATCGGTAGCTATGGTCGGCTAGTACCTGGCGCCGAAGTGCGAACGAAAACAAAAAATAACTTTCTGAGAAATAAGCGCACTAATGTCGCGTTTTAAATGTTGAATTTGTAGCTATTAGTGGTGAAAGTATGCGGTTCGCCCCGTGCGGCTTCGGAAGGTCTACTTTAGTACTACACACTGGCAAGATTTGGTGGACTCCGCGCGC